TCTTGAGTAGATTTTATGCTACCTTCCTGGAGGTGGCTGACACAAATAATGCCAGGGAAACCTGTAATTAGCAACAATCTGCCAGCTATAACATGTCTTAGAAAAAAACATGAAGTGATGTCTAGCAGGACACATCTGTCCCTTTCAGCATGTAGGAAGCCCCAAGGGTGTCAGCTTGGCAGATGCAGCGTGGCACGCTCTTTGCAATGTCTTCCTCAGGCATGCGCCATGATATTTAAGCAGAGTTTGGCTGTAAGAAAACACTGAAGCCATTCTGTACTTTCTGGCCTTATTGGAGCTGTATTTTTCCACCAGATACATTCATATCTCATTCCACATTTCAACAAGGCCATGAGCTTCATCACTAGAGCTTTCCTGAAACAGATTCTTCTGACAAACAAAGCAACGAAAATTCACATGGGGCCAAATTATAGTATCTTCACTTAGTCTTAATAACAATGAACCCTACTAATAGATCCACTGCTTTCAGAGGGAAAGCTTGTGAAATGAGATATTGTTCAGCTGTTGCAGTTTGCCCCCTGGCAGTGGATTTACTTGGATTTTACGCTAAGGTGACAGCTTTAATCTTGTTCCCCTGCAAAAAAGGAGAGTAACCTCGCTTTTATTAAGCCACGTGCTACAGAAGGTTGCTTGCCCCCTGCCCCACACCCAATGCTGCTACACCCTACTGCGCAGTGCACATTTCACTCCCTCCCTGGCTCAGATGTGGGCCAGGAGGTCTCACCACCGCTCACCACCCTGCCGCAGGCACGCTTGCTCTGATCCCCCTGATAAGATGAGGGCAGAAGAGCAGTGAGACGCTGTGGATTGGAGCTGGGTTACAGGAGATTGGTAGAAGCACCTCTGCTAAAATTACCTCAAAAGTGAAAGCTAATTCACCTGCTGATGAGGAGAGCAGTTATGTTAACGAGTCTACCCGTCTACCATCTACCGGCATGAGCAAAAGCTTCAGCACACCCAGGTCTAGGTACTCACACAATCCAGCTCCTAATTCAGTGCAGCGTAGCCACCTTAGCAGCAATGCAAGAGAAAAATGAGCCAGATTTTATGGGCATATGTTTAACTCTCTTTTTTTCCACATGAAACAAAGGCTCAGCCCTTACTCCTGTCCCGTCTCCCAACCATTTCGCCACAGCACAGCACCACCTTCCTGGCTTTTCCAGACTGATACTGAATTTGGCAGACATCTCTACGTGATGACACCCCACACCTCTGCCAGGAGCCAGGTGAGGACCAGGCAGCACGTTTCCCTGCTCACAGTGCCTTGCTCCCCTGGTCTGTGGGGTGCAGGTGAGTCAGGACAGGCTTGCTGCTGTTGACTAAGAAACATGACCAGATGTGTAGCTTTTACATTTTAAGGTCAGGCTTAATTCAAAGCAGATGTAGCCAGTTTTCTTTTATGAGCATGTTATGTTCAAAGCCTCTACTGCATCTGTATGAAACCCCTTAGAAACAGCCTGATACCAAAATGGCAACTGTTTTGGTGCTGCATCCTCCACAATAATAACAATCTGTTCAAGTTCTTACCATGTGGTCTCCACATATTGCTCTTCCTAAAAACAGATTAAAGATATTTCTGTGAAAAAAATCAAAGGGAGGCCTAACTAGTTACCATATCAAAAAAAACAAGAGAAATGACACAATAAGCAGGGGTTTACTGCCCTGGAAAGGCTCTGGTCCTGTTTCTACCATCACAAGTTAAATTAAGGATGGCAGTGATTGTGTTAGTTGTAATTTGAACATACTGAGCATTGGGGTTATGCGCAGGAGCGGCTGCTTGTTAAGACGGAAAAACAATGGAAAGATGTGTTTTGCATTCAGATCAGTGGAAGTACTTCTACAATAATATAAAAGACTGCACAGTCACCTGAATAATGTTTATCTTTACAAAAAGGGAAGACTCATTTAGGAAAACACTTCCTACTCCCTATAGTTTAAGGTTCTTCTCCTGTTCTTGCTGGAGTCAATGGAAGCTTTGCCACAGTAGACCTGGGCCTTAGAAAGAGATTGTCAGAAAACGTCAGCAAGTGCTAGTTTTCCAGCATTGTGATCATCACTGGGTTAGCTTCTATTTCAGAGCATTGCTTGGATGTGATATTAGAGGCAAAGCAGTTTTCTCCTTTTAGCCATTGCTTTTTGTGAGACTGCAGGCTGGACACTTTAAAGTCCTTCCTGCCCCGTGAAGTACATAACCTTTTCTCCTCTCCATGACAACTTTGGTTCTATTTATTTAAATAAGTACAGAAAGGAAAAAGAAAAGCAGTGTAATCAAAGATACAGAAAATCTGAGCATGGCCTCCATCACAGATGGCCTCTAGGCTTTTCCACAAGAGTGACACGCTTCCCTGCTAGATTTGCTAAATTGTCCACAAAAGGGAAGTGGAGGGGTATACTCTGTGCAAAATACCACTCAACATCCTCACCCATATGTATGAGCTCACACAGCAGAGGCCTTTGTTTTAAAGATCCTTACAGCATGTTCTGAAGGTGAAATCATTTATTCTGAACCAAGAAGTAGGAGCAAAACCCTCTGAAGAACGTACTGGCAGCTGTGGTGCTATGATGGATTCCTAGGGATGGAGCCTGGGTCAAAAATCTCAGCTTCTCAAGCTCCTGTGGTTTGGCAGAGGGGGAGCCAGAGAGAGAGAGAGAGAGAGTGGAAAAAAAGGTGGCCACAAGCAGTAGTACTCACTGTTTTGGATGGAGAAGCCCTCTAGGGCAGGAAGTGCTTTAAAGACCTGCTTTTGTAGGAGTAAAGGCCTCCAGAATGTGGCTTGAGTGGGCTATAGCTCTTAGCCCTTTGCATATGGAGGTATTTCCATTTCTCTCTACAAGAAATGGACCTAGGAAACATCAAAACAAAGCTGAATTTTCCAGCTGAGATACTCACGGGCAAGACAAGATGTGAGTTAAAGATGAACTAAAAAAATTCCTCTGGATTCAGACCAACTTAGAATAAGCTCTCGCCTTAAAACAGCAAGGCAGATTCTGGTACTTCCTGATCAGAGTAAACAGCACATGAACTCATGACAAATCTCAACAGGAGAGAGCGATGCTCAGCACAGCCCAGTCCCAAGCAGCTGGGGGACAACAGACAGTGTATTCTCAGTGCTAAATCTGAGTCAGTCATTGTGCAATTTTGCCTGGATAAACGGAGTTATGTCATCTTAATGAAAACATAAACAAAGCAAAAATAAATAAAAAAGTAAAAGACAAAATAAAAAAAAATCCTGCAGGAACTGTCATGTGCCAAGACTCATTTCTGCAGTGTCTTTGAGTTGGTGTCAATTTGTTCTTCCAAGACAGAAGCATCAGCCTTTCATATCAACAAAATGGTATGAAAATGCATTTCAGACCACCTTGCTTAAAGTCCCACTTTATCCTCTCTTAGATAACCATCTGCCTTGTAAGCAGCTATTGTCGCTGTGAGCTGTCTCTCTCATACCATTATCTTGCTGAAAAGCCCTTTCAGAAAGTAGTCTATCAGAGCAGGCAAAAAAACCTCAGAACACAGCCATGTACGAGAATCAATGGCTCCCTTTGATCTGCAAGCTCAGCCAGTACCACAAATTTAAAAAATAACTAGGTGCTTGCTTTGCTAAGCAAAACCTGATAATTTGGCTCATCGACACTTACAGCATCTTACTGGAAATGCCATCTGTATCAGATGTTTTGAAGACTTTGGTGCAATATTCGCTTAGCTTAGATAAATAATTTAGTAAGATTCATTAAAAAATAATCAGTGAATTAATTTTTATAGTGTACATCTATGCATGTAATTTTTTTTAAATTCGGTCCTCTGCTACCCCAAATGGTAGTGAGGATGTTCACAGTGGATGAAGAAAACGCTGGTGATTTCATGGGATTAGACTGAACGTGGATTCTTCTGGTTCTAGTGGTGTATTTTCTTCCCAAATCTATCACATAGGTTTGAGTCCTATTAATGACAAGACCAAAATCTATATGCACTGTGGAGGAAATGTGACCCTTTATGTCTGTTGCAGGCCACACCTATAGCACAGGAAACTTTACTTCTATTATGACAAAAGAAGTCCACAAAAACATCATTTCATGCTACTAAAAGGAAATCTTTTGTGCTGATATATAGGAAAGCAATGTATACCACTGATATTACTGTAGATAGCTATAAAATGCTATGCAATATATAGAAACGTCCTAAGAACATACAAAATTTACCAGTAGTGACCTGAAAGTGCAAAGAGTATATATAACTAAATGCCAAGACCTCATCTATAAAATCCTTTATGAATGACATACAAGCTGATAATTACAAAGCATCATTCAGACCACAAAATAGCAAATAAAACAAATAAACAAAAGGATTCCTTAAGGAAATCAAAACAATGACAGGATTGGGAATGATATCTTTGGGACTCAGAACATCATTTCTACCCTCATACCTACCAAAGCCAAAGAAAATATACGCTTAAACACAATAATGTAAAAAAGAAAGCAAACCACCACAGAATGCCTCAGGACTATTACCTCTTTATGTCATAACCTTTAAATCCAGCAAGTCGTTAACCGTTTGCTATTAGGCATCTCATAGTATTTTACAGGGATCTTTCAGGAATTAAAAGCAGATTGAAAGAATGTCTTTGAACCTCCTTTCAATGTTTTTTTTTAGGCATTGTGTGGAGTTATACAGTTATATTTCTCTGATAATAAAAAGCCCTAGAAAATACTAAGTTTTCGATTACCTTTTGAAATAAAACATCAATGGCTTAAAGACAGAAGTGAGTTATATAAATACAAAGTTAATTTGACCATTAAATCGTATTTTTACTCTCATACAACCATTACCCTGAATCAATATCAGTATATTGTTACGATTCAAAATACTGACACCCTACCACAAGTCACTTTCCCGTTTTCCTTTTAAGGATATGATTGTCCTTAAAATATGTACATAGCAAGCAGCCAAATGAACCACCAAGAGATCTGCAAAGCGTACTTACACTAGGGATGTGATAAAAAGCTTGAGCAAGTGGTTAGGTAGCCCTCGCCGCTGCCGGCGAGCGTACAGCCCCCCCACCCTGGGGCGGCTGCCAGCCGGAGGCTTCCCGCGCCGCACCAGAGCTTAGCTTGGGCAGGGAGGGAGCTGCTGCCAGCATGCAGAGGACGGAGTCAAATCAGGGAAAACAAAAGAGAGAGAGAAAATGAAGGGAAGGCAAAACATTTTAATGATGATTCTTGTTAGTCATAAGCGTGAGGGAGCTAGTCTAACGTTACTCTATGTTCCTCTTGATACATACATGCCCACGATGCAAACAAAACGCATATGACGGAAATTTGCCACACACAGGTCCTGTACAGATGGTAGCTTATATCTTCTAGCGCTTTTAAAGACACACAACTGTTACTACCTGCAATCGGTGCTTCCAGTCTTTACGGTATCTCCCCAAGCTCCGGACATCCTCCCTCCTTCTCAACCTGCAGTACCCTATGGAATCACTCTGTACAATTTGTCCCTAAAATAAGAGGGGGAAATAGGACTTTTCTGCAGAATTGTCATGCAAGGAAGAACGTGACCCTTACAGTCAGATGAAAACAAAAGAATAAAAACAGGAATGTTAGGTGTCGGGCTAAAGACCAGGATTAGTAACCCGGGTTCTGTACATTCATCCTTTTGAGGGTATCTCAGCTTTGATTTTCTAAAATACCCAAGCAGAGTCAGGCCAAATGCAAATCCCTTTCTCAGGCAAAGGAAAAGCTCAGCCAAACCTTTGGAGACAGATCCACCGTACACCCCCGCGGCGTGCGCGGGGCCCGCGGGCTGCATGTACGCTGGGAGGAGGTGCGTCCTGACTACACATGCATATGTACAACGCGTCCGTGTGAGCAGGCATGTAGAAAATCACACACATATACGTTTATGTCATTAAAAAAAAACCAACATATAAAATAATCTCCTGTGAAGCCTATTAAGGTTCTTACTCAGATCATAAAAGCAAGAAACGATCAGAAAAACTAACACTTTCTCCCTACTCGCTGGGGGAGCGGAGGTTGCAATTTGGTATTGTGGTAATTTCAGAGCTAAATTTCAGTTTTACCCTTGTGACTATAGGGTCCTTTCCCCAGTGAATCACACTTGTAAGAGAAGAAATTATTTTTACTGTATTTCCTAGCTTTTTATGGTTATCTATAACCTTAATAGCCTTCAAATGTATATTCTGTATATTTATTTTCCTTTTTTCATTCAGTTTAAGAGACAATAAAACCAACTGCTATGTGAGATCAGACCCATTAGCTTCAGTTATGTGAATTTAGAATTCTCTACATAATATAGACATATTTTTTTAAATGTATATTATTTTTCAGATACACTGGAGCATATATTTTATATTTACTGAGGTCTGATGATTAAACACTCATACCAAAATATTTTGTAAATGCATAATATTTATTTTTAGATTTCAATGATTTTTGGAGCTTTTTCAGTGTATCATAAAAATATGTCCCCCAGGCACATTAAAACCCTATTAAATTTTTCAGAAATGTTGTCAATGCCCATGTACAGTAGCCACTATTCAAAAAAACATCCTAGTCATTAATACATTTCTCATAGGATCCAAGCTTAATAGACCATTTGATGGATCCTTAGCTTACCATATTTCTTTTTCTCTCTTAAAGTAAAATTATTCCGAAGTTCTTAAGAATGCAAATAAAAAGCAAAAGAACCCAAATTTTCCTTAAATAGTCAAAAACTAATTTTATATATTTTTAAAAATAATAATTAAAAAACATGTTTCTTTCCTAGGTTCCTTTTCTGTAAGGTTTAAGCCCAGAGCAACTTTGTACAAACCCCTGAAAATAGAGGTTTGCAATGGCAGTGCTGTCAGACCCTCAGCTCCGACACACAGAATGTGCCACTTCAACAAAATCAGCACTTCAGACTTACTTATCTGGGCATGCATGAGCCCATACAAAACAGAGTTTTGCTCTAGTTTAAGGTACTTACAGAAAGTTCCACAGTTTTAGACCTGTAAAATTATCTACCTATAAAAACTAACTTTTGCTTAAACTCTAGATAATACAGACAGGTGATTTTTTTTTTTTTTTATAAAAAATCTGTAGCATTGAGTAAATCTGCTAAAATATGTATATATCTACACATGGAGAGCAAGTTATTGTATAAATGTGAATAGTGTGTATATATTGGCATTTAGTAAAATGTTTCCCTGAACCTGATTGTAAGCATCATCGGACAAGTATTGATGTAAACATCTGAACCTACGTCAGGTGTCTCTGTTACCCATTTACATTAGAGCAGACTGCAACCAAACAAACAGATAAACAAATATATTTTTCCCATTAGACAAATCCACCTAACTCCTTGGTTAGCTACTGCACACAAGTCAATCAAGTCTGCTGCTGAGCAGTGCTCATATTCCTACATCAGGTAAAATACCTGTTAGGTTGTTTATTTTTTTGCTTGGCATTTTTCCAGCATCTTGCAGAGCAAACACTGTTTTTGGAGTCGGGCACCCTCCCTCCATGCCTCTTCTGGAAATGATTAAAAGAGAAGTGTATTGCAGAACCTCTGGTGTTCCTCCATGTGTAACTCTGCTCCCCTGGAGAACTCATGGCACTGCTTTGCATGAGGAAAGATTACTCATTTCGGTTCGTAATCCAAGTCCTGCTTCCACAAAGGCATGTAAAAATGAATCTCCCCAGTGTTTAGTGCTGCAGAAAAAAGATACAAATGTAAAAAAAAAGTGCTCAAACAGAAGTTGACTTTTCATATTCAGCTGTACAGTATAGTAAGAAGGGATTCAGAAGTGCAGACCCCTGGAGTACACGAAAGGAAGCCTTTTAGGTGCCTTTCTTCAGGCGATGCAAAACTAATTCATTATTAATGGTCTCCTACACAGACTTTCACACATCAAGTTTGCCGTCCATCTTTGTCTCCACCTTGTATTCAACTACTTTTTGGCACTGTCCTGGTATGTGGCAGCTTTAACTGCTGTCCCTGCTAAGCCTCTGTTACTGACCCGGCGTACCAGTACTTTAGAGACAGGGATTTTTGTTCTGTGTATCTCGCTTTTGGCCAGGTGATGGTGTGTGACATGATGGCTGTTGCTGGAGTCTGTTGTGTGGCTGGCAGGATGTGATGCAAGGTGTTTGATGCTGATGGGTATCTTGGAGTCCTTCACGGTGCTTGAAGGTGTTTTCAGTGAGCATGTGGTGGTTATTGGAGACACAGGCTTGGAGCGTGGCACACAGGTGACCTCTTCGTCAGAAGGCCCCCCTGGTGGGTTCTCATCCGGCTCAGCGTAGAGGTCGTAGAGGGCGTCCCCGCTGTAGCTGTCCCTGGGAATGGTCTCCTTCTGGATGCTCACGGTGCTGTCTTCCTCAGGCCCAGGGGTGGTGGAATCCCAGTAGCCCTCGTCGCTGTTTGGGATGCCTTCTTGCTGCTCCTTCTCCCTGCCCTTCTGCTCCTCTTTGTGGTTGAGATGAATGGGGATCTGGTTGAGACCGCAGCGTTTCACCGCCGCCCTGTTCTGGGCCCCCTCGGTACCTCGGTTCTCTTTCAACCCCTCAGGCGTCCTTGTCCCTCCTCCACCTCCTCCTCCTCCTCCTCCTGTCTGGGTGTCTGGGCCGCACTCCTCTGTCTGTGACAGCATATCCCAAAACTCCTGAAGGTAGGTGTCATCCACCTGGTCCGGACTTGCCATCTCCTCCCCTCCTCCTTGGTAGGCCACCATGGTGGGGTGCTTCTTGGAGGCACCCACCTTGCTGGCCCCGGGGGTGCTCTTCTCACAGCCGCCACTCCCGCTGCCCACTTCCTCCTCCTGGTCCGCAATAATATCTCCGCAGCCTGTAAGAGAGTCAAAGCTTTTCAGTGAAGTCACGTCAGCAAACATCAAACAAATACGATCAATTGATTGCTCTGAGGGTGGATCAATAGAGGAAGGGTCAGGGGCTGCTGCCGTCTCTTGACCGCTATCACATTCGGGTTCAACAAGGGGAATAGTCTTTATTGGAATGTCACCTGTTATGGCCGCATCCTTTGCAGTCCCAACCTCTCCCGTGCCCGGGTCTGGTCGCTCGGGGCAGAGCTCCTCGGGTCGGGTCCCCGCGGCGGTAGGATCCTCCCCTGCGGGGGTTTTGCTGTCCTGCGGCTCCCCACCTCTCACGTCAGCCTCCTTGGCCGAGGCGTGCGGGTCTCCGCCGGGTTTCTCACAAGACAATTCAACATTAATTTCTCCGGCGCCGTTCGAAGTTTCAGACAAAGGTTTTGGGGTCTCCTCTTTGATGCATTCCAAGCTGGCAGTCAGCGACCCCGGCATAATGAGATCGGACTGAATTTCTGAGCTTTCCCCCCTTTCCTCCTTGCCATTTTTGTCCTTTTTATGCCACCGCATACTGCTGAAGATCCCTTTCAGCCCCTTCTTTTGTCTGCTGCCAGCCCTCGGATCTGCACTCTCCCCCTTGCCGTTTTCCGACTTCCCATTCTTCTTCAGCAGGGAGAAGAAGCTGTGTGACTTAGCCACGGAGCTGTTGGACGAGACGCTCAGGCTGGCTGCTGCCGGGGGGTTCACATCCTTGCTCTGCTGATCGCCGCCGCCGCCACCGCTGCTGCCGTCGCCACCGCCGCTCGGTTCCTCCTTCTTGCTGCTCTCCAGCACGGCATCAGCTAACCCGTCGTGAGTCTTGCTCCGCACCATCCCCGTTTTGCTCGCGCCTTTCCCGTCCCCACCTTTGTTTTTCACCCCGAAGATGCTCGGCATGGTGCCGCCGGATTTCCTCCTCTTGAACAATTTGAAGGCGGTTTTGTTGATCTTGCCCGACGGCTGCTCCACGGCCGGGGTCTCGGCACAATCGCAGTGCGAG